CAGTTCGGTCAACGCAGTCGTATCTGAAGGGTGAGAGTGATAAAGATATTGTTTCTCCCACGAGCGGTTGGTTTTGAGGGATACGCACCTCGACCAAGAAACTTTTGACGTATGGACGACTCTTTCTCGTCTCGGCGGCGCTCCATCTCGGCTACAAGATCGACAACACGAGGAAAGGGACCAACACTGCCGATTCTTATTGAAATAGGCTTGCTGTCGTATGAAAATGCTATAGAAACCATGCACAAATTGGAAGACACGAAAAGTATAGATCTTACATTTTTTAGGCTTTGTCGCTTCAAGAGATCTACGTATTTCTTGAAACATTTCGGCCTCGCGTTTTGCTCGTCGTGCCTCTAACTCGTCAATTCTCTGTTTGATCCTTCCGATGTCAGTAGTTGTGGGTGGCAATAGCCTCACAGTAAACGGATGGTATGAGAAGTTCTCAACAAGAGATGTGTTTTGCTTCAACGAGGACAATTCATTTGTCTCAAATTCGCGACGGGTGGCTTCGAGTCGCTCAATCTAAGTAGGGAAGAATCGGCTCGTTGACGACATCAAATTCCACGCCGAGACTTCACTTCTCCTCGGATTTGTGGAAATGGGTCTTCAGGTGGAACAAGAAGCACTTCAGTTGAGTGGCCATTTGAATGCATCTCGTAGCTTGGTGCAGCAGACACCACAGTTGCCGCTGCAAGTGAAGCATAGATATTCATGGTGTTCAAATGTACCTAACACACATCATGAATAGAAGGGAAGAACCACAGCGATCGACAACATTTTGGACGAACACAAGAAGAAATGAAATCGATTGCGTAAATTGCAGTCTGCAATTTGCAATTTGCAGAGCATCCCGGATTAATTTATGCAAGATGCCTTTTTTGCATACCGAATTCGCACATGACGCGTGACTAATCTATTCCAAACAGAGATTGCTATTCCAAAACAACACTGCTCTCAGCTGCTAGTAGGCCCCCTAGTGGCAGCTGCTACGCAGCTGCTTCCAGCTGCTGCGTAGCTGCTAGGAAGCTGGTGCTTCAAGTTGCTTTCAGTTGCTATGCAGGTACCTCCAGTTGCTATGCAGCTGCTTCGAGTTGCTTCACAGCTGCTCGTGGCCGGATTCATCCGTCAATACACCAACATCTCTCCATTAGTTGAGCATGTATCAATGGATCCCTTTATTGCTCATTGCTGAGTACGGTCCTGTAGGAGCTAACTCTCTGGGGAGTGGTTCGCTTCTTCTCCGTCACAAAGGTCCTACCTACCAATTACTATTCAGCCTTAATACGTCAGTTTACAAAGTAGTGATGCTGCCCAAGTACGCTTTTTGCGGATTGATACTACGCGTAACGCGTTTCATTGAGCTAAGTTCCAGGAGCTTGACCACCCGAATTTTACTGGCAACGAACTATGCTTCGCAGTACGTGTAGCCTGAGTAAAGCAGAATCTTCACATTGTAGTGGCGGTTCAGAATAACCCCAAAGTGTTACAACCACAACTGTGGGCCGCAATCGTTTTGGCTAACCGACGAGTTAGTCGAACTACGTCAGCCACACATTACGAATTAACAACGCGACTTGAACACAGCTAGAGAAACCGTAACAAGTTAGAAGCTAATGATTAGTTTCGCAGTTCCACAGTATGTTTTGTCACAATACTATTCACACAATGGACTTAACTCAATGGACCGGAAAATATCTAATAAACTTGAAAGGAAAATTAGTCAGAGCTTGAGCTCTGCCCTGGGGCTGGAGCGTGAGTTGTTGTGTAAAGGCCACGTTCTCCGTCTTTATGCACTTCTATACGAATGTATTTAGATTTCGGATTATTAACCAGGCGATTGTCGGAGATTGATATTGTTGTACTTGTGTGAGCCTTCAGAGTGCCTTTGCAGAAGGGAGCGTGCTCGAGGTAAGCAGTAAAGGGTAGGTCTTCCTCTAGCGACGAGTACAGGGTTAAGGATCGAGCACGCTTCGTCGAACTATAACGGCCGTGCTCAACCTTTACCTTCGAAGTCCTGCTCGATCGTAAGGAAATGCGCTTCGCCGTGGCACCTGCTAATGAGGATGAGATTTTGCTTGTGGTAATACGGTGCTACTACTACTACTACTACTACTACCTGTATCCGTTGAACGAGCCTCTATTCCCTCATTCGATAACGATTCCCGAGCGTCGCGAGACGAACAAGCTGCCGATTCCTCGCTTTTTCTTTTCCCCTCCAATCCAATCTTCCTTCTTCCTGTTTTTGATGCCATTACCTGCAAATTTTCACAATAGATTCATGAATCTCGATCAAATAGTGATTGACACGGCCGCGAAGCGGCAAAATGATTACGGTCAATAAAGCTCTACTATCGACAGCGCATCATTTTACTGTACCTGTCGATAGTGCTCTTTCATGGTCGGTGGCTTATACGTTCCCTCATCGGGAATAGCTACTCGCGATTCGCAATCTGATTGATCGTCTCCGGTGAGAAGGTGGCTCTCGGTCGAGTCATCCTAAGAAGAAACTGGTGGTAACCTCAGTAAGAACATAGCTCAACACTTCGCATCGCCACAACATTAATGTTAGCACTTCGGCAGTAGCACATATGGTAAACACCTTTCTACCTCTGAATGATTCTCCTTCCAATCCGAATGTGAAGATCTACCGTCGGTATTTCGTCTAGGCGAGGTTGTATCAAATTGGTTCAAGGCCTGATAATCATATCACGAGGATGATAGGTGGGAAATACAGTATAATTACTGCCAAATACTCCATAAGTTATTAATCACACTATATAATTACTGCCAGAGCGTGATCATTTTTATGATATACCTGCAACCTTGCTTCTAAATCCGCCACTTGTTTATCTTTCGCCACAGCGCTTTTTTCTAATTCCACAACGTCGTCCATCAAGTTGCAGCTGTGCATACGTTCTCCGTTTGCCTGAGAAAAATGTAATGTAATCAACATAATCAACCACCAACTTATTAAATCAACTTACTTCTTCCCAATGCAACTTGATTTCTTCGTCTAATTCGGTAACCCGTGATTGAAGCTCTGAGACCTAAAGGGAAGAAAAGAGAGGCTCAATTTTAGTTCATCATTGAGGACTTCACCAGGGACTCCCTAGTTTACCAGGGTAACTTTTACCAGTGGTGAAGTTCAAACTCGAAAACCCGAACTCCGAGTTAGAATTCATATACTACCTTAGACTCTGCATCGTCCGCTCGCCCTTTTTCCTTCGATAGTTGTTGCCGAAGAGAGCATATTCTCTTACGCTGAAAAACAGTTATCACACAAATTGTACAATACAATATACAACGCATATATATTGCTAGGCAACCCAGATGGGACTCCCGACTAGTTCAGGGTCGTTACAGAATACCCACAAGTATCATTACCAATATCGCGCATTCGAGATTATCCTTCTTCACCTTGAGCAAAAGCTTTCTATTTCTCCTATGGCTCTTTTCTAAAGCCAATTTAGATGTCTGCAGCTGTACTGAGAGCTCACTGTTCGCTTTGCCCTGAAATAATTTCTATCTCGATCCCCGAAATCCGCAGTTGAGCTTGTCAACCTTGCTTAGTTAACTTACCAGCCGCTTCAGCTGCTCCCTGCGTTGTTTACCTCGAGTATCTTTTGGCTCTCTTGGCTCTTCACCTGTTGCCATACCCGATAGAAATATGATGTTAAAATAGAGGCTACTTCAAAGAAGTTCTTTGAAAGAATGATCAAACTCTCAAAATGCAAAGCACTGCTCGGATACTGACTTAACACACCTCTTACGTCCGTTACTGAGCGGAGGAGTATCATACACTACTTAAGGAAGGGATATCATGTCTAATTCGGTTTAGCTTCATCCCGCCCCGTGAGCCACTTTCCGGGGCACCATTTTCAGCTTGAATCTCGCAGATCTTGACACATCTTGTATTTTCTTAGTGCGTATGTTCATGATCCGTTCATGGATCAGATCTCCTCTCGTATTCCATCAAGTAATACTCCACGGATCAAAATCCTATGATTTACTCAGGTAGTTAGGTGTCATATTGGGAGTTCTTAATCTCAGTCAGAGTCTCTGACGGTCATGATTCGTAACTTGTGTTCAGATCGTGGGGCAATCATTGTGGCGACTCACCACTGATGAGCTGTTGGGGGTCCTGATTGGAACTCGATGCGGGCATGAAGCACGGGATAATGGTTTTATTGAGGCAGAGAGTCAAGGCAAGATATACGGGCCTATATTGTGTGTCGAATGTACACTTTTCATGATCATTCATCGTAGTGGCTCGGTGTCTTCTATCCCATAGATAATCTCGCCGTACGAAAGTAGGACGGGTGTTATACCACCGACTACTAATAGTGTATCGAGTGATCTGTGCGGTGTGAAATTTAACCAGCTTCTATACTGTGTGTCGAATGTACACTTTTCATGATCATTCATCGTAGTGGCTCGGTGTCTTCTATCCCATAGATAATCTCGCCGTACGAAAGTAGGACGGGTGTTATACCACCGACTACTAATAGTGTGTCGAGTGATCTGTGTGGTGTGAAATTAAACCAGCTTCTATATTGTGTGTCGAATGTACATTTTTCATGATCATTCATGATAGTAGCTCGGTGTCTCTATCCCATAGATAGTCTCGCCATACGAAAGTAGGACGGGTGTTATACCACCGACTACTAATAGTATGTCGAGTGATCTGTGTGGTGTGAAATTAAACCAGCTTCTATATTGTGTGTCGAATGTACATTTTTCATGATCATTCATGATAGTGGCTCGGTGTCTTCTATCCCATAGATAATCTCGCCGTACGAAAGTAGGACGGGTGTTATACCACCGACTACTAATAGTGTGTCGAGTGATCTGTGCGGTGTGAAATTAAACCAGCTTCTATATTGTGTGTTGAATGTACACTTTTCATGATCATTCATGATAGTGGCTCGGTGTCTTCTATCCCATAGATAATCTCGCCGTACGAAAGTAGGACGGGTGTTATACCACCGACTACTAATAGTGTGTCGAGTGATCTGTGCGGTGTGAAATTAAACCAGCTTCTATATTGTGTGTCGAATGTACATTTTTCATGATCATTCATGATAGTAGCTCGGTGTCTTCTGTCCCATAGATAATCTCGCCGTACGAAAGTAGGACGGGTGTTATACCACCGACTACTAATAGTGTGTCGAGTGATCTGTGTGGTGTGAAATTAAACCAGCTTCTATATTGTGTGTCGAATGTACATTTTTCATGATCATTCATGATAGTAGCTCGGTGTCTCTATCCCATAGATAGTCTCGCCATACGAAAGTAGGACGGGTGTTATACCACCGACTACTAATAGTATGTCGAGTGATCTGTGTGGTGTGAAATTAAACCAGCTTCTATATTGTGTGTCGAATGTACATTTTTCATGATCATTCATGATAGTAGCTCGGTGTCTTCTATCCCATAGATAGTCTCGCCATACGAAAGTAGGACGGGTGTTATACCACCGACTACTAATCGTGTGTCGAGCGATCTGTGCGGTGTGAAATTAAACCAGCTTCTATCATTCATGTTAAGTATGCACTTTTTCAAGCGTATGGAAGTGATCGTGTTAAGACGAGTAAATAGTAGAGGGACTTCGGCTAAAGAGTGAGTCTCTATCCTGACATATCGAATAATCCGTTGACATATAAGAGAATCTAACTTCGGCTTTGACTCTTTCTGTATCACCAATTATAAAGTAGAATACCGATATATGCAAACCAAACTACAGGAAGAATTACTTCTTCGCTGGTGATCACTAGAGTATCACAGGTTTCGCGTGTCAGGTTGATGCTTTGTATAAACGTCTCAAACTCATTTTTTCGAAGGACGGCATTTCTGCGAATCTTGATTTTGAAATTTCTAGCCGGTGAATTTTCCTCAGGGAGTTTCAATCAAAATTAACAGTATACGCCATATACTATGCCATACGACGCATGGTATAACTCGTACGAAAGGCTCTTTAGGAGAGGGTCATTCATATATCCATAAGCATGATATGAAAGTATAAATGAAAAAGTAATAATGTTCTAAGTGAAGATGACCATTCCGTGATAGAATGTCGTACATATCCATGGTCATTCTCAAGTAGTATTTGAATCATGCCGGTGCCTCTTCCGTGGGTTTTCATCAATCGGTTCCGCATAACTGATGGTCGTAGCAATCCTTTTGACGAGGCGTTATCACGAATGCGCCTTGGGTTTCCTGTGGCGAATATATCTACCAGGCCAGAATATGGTGAAGCTCGGTATAGGTGCACACTCCACGAAGAGTGTAGTAAGCAGTATAAAATGATCCACCAGGGAGCTGATGTCTTAGTATACGAATATGGTGAGTCCTCGTGAGCCTTCGAAGGAGCTGCTAGCGAATAAACGCCTCACAGACTTATAGCATTAGTCAAAAACCAGTCATTTATTTGTTAGTAGATTATCATGAGATCTCTAGAGATATCTAGTATACATGATGTCTGATAATACATCAGCCATTTGGCTTAGCCTCTGGCTCAATCTACTCGGGAACTCTAAGGTATGCTGTTTCTTCGCAGGGAACCATGCTCAGCTGGTGATGCACAGAATACGCGCTAATCATCCCCGAGAGGTGACGGAACTAGTACTACGCGAGGCTCGGCAAGGGCTGACCGCAAGCACTATAGTCACTCATATCTCCTCCTCCTTTCCTCATTACAGAGGGTCGATAACCCGAGAGCAGGTAATGATAGCCGTCTTGTGGGAGATGGGGCTCCAGTATCAGGGTTTCTTCAGAGGGAACATTCGTGCCACCATCTCTACGGTGAAAATTGTTCTTATGTATGATACAAACACAGCTTTTCATATATCATTTACAGGACTATGAAATCTTGGCTAATAGCCATGCTCCAATATATATCATGCTACATTTCACGCCTACTGTAGGTGCAAAGTATCATCTCTTCCTTACACCGTCGTGGCAGGGGTGGTGCTCGGCATATCAGCGATTTTTATGCTCTTCAAAGTGCATTTGGTAGATTTCGCGCCACTGAGGCAATTCTGCAGCACATCAAGGATGGAAAAGAAGTGGATGAAGAAACTCTCTTCCTTGGAGGATATAGGGAAGAAGGGCATTACTCTTGTATTCTAACTGGGGCAAGTAAGTAGCTACTTGCTCTTCTTCTAAGATGCACGGTGCATCACGCACCCATGGGTAACTATTAATCAGTAATGGACATGATAGGTATGCTTTCATCTCTTGCTTGGTATCTGGAGGCAAAACGTGACGGGTTTGCAGTATATATGGATGCTCAGAATAAGATCATCCATGGAGATATGAAGCTCGCCTGGGTCGGTGCTTCGAGGTTATGGTAAGTCACAAGCTATGTGATGCCGTATGTTGACTGAGTTGCATTCACACTCAGGTTTGATACCAGGAGAAATCAGTATCGCCATACTTTTGTGCCGTTTTTGCTTGCCATAATTGATGAAGAATGCTTTTCCGTATACAATCGTTTGCTCAAAGAGCTAGACAAACTGGTGAGGTTCTTCACCAGCAATGAGCGGTGCCTCGAGGAAGTCGTAAATTGTTGTGTACATGATGCACACCAAGGTGCGATAAGAGCATGTAAAGCACAACTCCCCCGAGTTAGGAATGGTAGTAGCTTCACTTTCGCCTCATCAATGATGAGTTATCATTAGCTGTAGCGAATTTTATATTCTCAGCGAGGTGTTACTATCACCTATCGAAAAATATCAAGGATAATCGCTCGAAATTAGGCCAGGATGCAGCATTGGTAAGGCATTGAACGAACTCCATTCTTCTTCATCTGCAATTAACGGTGTTATATTATTCAAGGTGGAGCATCTCCAATACGCCTTACATGCAAGCCCAACTGACGACTTTCTCTTCCTTTTGATATGTTCCCTCATCGGAGAGGTCGAGGCAGATAATGCCACTGGGAGCAACTACCTCCGTAACACCTTAGACGTTGAGCGATATGGCTATCCCAACATCGCTCTCACAAGTAAAGGCTTAATAGGCACGCAGGTATCTTGAACGACGGAGCGTGGGGGATTTTGTATATTTTGCGCAGGTTTTGAACAACATCGTGGAAGCATTCCACCGAACCGTTTCACGCATGCTTGGTCGACAGCATGTGCCTATCTCAATCTTTGTAGAAAGGATCGTTGAGGTGAGATTCATGACACGCACTTCGTATCTCTCAAGTCATACTTCGTGCGTGCAACACCCTGATGCAACTAATCATGCAATTCGTATATCAGGTAATTCGTTCACTGAAGCACAGCAGTGCCCAGCATTTCGTTCGCAAGCCGAATACTATAGACATTATCGAGTATCAGCCGAGAACGATGGTTAAGGGTACAACAATCGCGCGGAATGATGCTCTAAGAGAGGTGAAAAAGCATCAGACTCAGTTAGTGAGAGGTTGAATTTAGCCATTGACATAGGTAATGACTTGTTTAATGGATTGCCCTCCGTAGGTAACGGAGTCTGTTGCGAATATAACACATGCAGTGAACCATAATGTTCGCTACTTCGTTGTTGAGACGGAGCGGGTGACTCCTCATTCGCTACCTCCAGCTCAAGATGAGGACATTGACGAATATATCAGAGGCTTGTTTCTTTCGCAATTCGATAGGGGTAGCAGCCGAATGTTTACATATACAATTATTTGCCATGCCCTATGCTTTAGGC